AAGTCCTGAAACCAAAATTATGTTAACGTTTGCCCCCCCCCCCCCTTCCCATCGCAAGCCCTCAAACTCCTCCTACGTTCCCCCTTTTTAATTTGGCTGGATACTACAATGGTACTTCCTCTCACCTGAGCAGTGTCTAGCAGGAATACTGAGATATAGAACCCGATGACTGTGTTTGTAAGTTGATAGGGCATGCCACCTAGACCATAGCATATCTTCTCTCGAAGCTTCAACCGACTCGATTTCCGCTTCCCTGACCGCGGCTTCTCGGGCGCCAGTGGCGTCGTCTATTGGAGGAAAACAGAATACATTTTATTACCAATTCAAAGAAATGAAAAAAGTTGGCGACTTACGTAATTTATAAATCTTTTTGTACCATTCAAGTTGGTGACTTACGTAATTTATAAATCTTTTTGTACCATTCAAAATATTCCCAACGTCCAATGTACCTCTCGCTTTATCGCTCCTGTTCTTTCCCTTCCCTCTCCCTGTCTCCCTCTCTCTCATTCTCTCTCTCTCTCTCTCTCTCTCTCACTCTCTCTCTCCTTTTCTCTCCTTTTCTCTCTGTCTCTCTGTCTCTCTCTCTCTCTCTCTCTCCCTCTCTTCCCCTTTCGATTTCTCTTGCTCCCCACCTATATCCCCGGCTTTAAAGAGAATGAGTTCTATTAAAGATAACAAACAATATGTGAGCTTTTTCATTCTCTTTAGATGTCATTCGAATGAAAATTCTTATGGTTGTTCGTATAATTCAACTTAAGTAGAACAAGGTACAATATCATTCAGAGGAAAGGGGTTAACTAAAATACATCTCTCAGCGGCGGATCCAAGATTTTTTAAGGGGGGGGGGGTCGAAGCCAACGAGTGCGCGAAGCACGCTGTAATCGCGCCTGAACGGTAGCCCTTCTGCATCAGGTCCAGGAGCATAGCACAAAGACGTTTGAATATATATATTTATTTATTTATATTAATTATTTATTGGGGCTTGTTTTGCTTTCTAAAGGATCCGTACAACATGGCATATATTGGGGCCTGGCAGAGCTCCTATCGGGGGTTCCGGTACGGAGCCCCAGGACGCTCTCGAGTCTTGAGCAATGGAAACTCACATTCTCTCCTTAGGGCCACTGGATAGCTATCGTGATCGATAAAATCTCTAACCCATCCTTTGAAATTTAAATTGCACTGCCCCCACCTCAGATTGATCATGCCATCTCATTCAGCAAAATCCTTTAATACTGGACACAACGTTCATGGGCGGATGCCCACCAGGCGCGTAGCCAGAGTTCGACGTTTGGGGAGCACATACATGTAATCGATCGAGGTAAAAAAAAGTTCAACCGATCTTGGAAATTTTAGGGGGGTACGTGCCCCCCCCCCCCCCCCGTGGCTACGTGGCAGATGCCCACACTATTGAGTTATCCAATGATTCTCCGCCCCCATCCCTGACCAGCCAGTGAGTTATACGTTGATGCAGGCGATACGCATAGCCTGTGGTAGGATTATACCCTTCCATCCTATCATACGTTGCCGACCCGTAGCAATTTTTATATTATTAGTACATTTCTTCTTTTTTCCATTTCTCTGTTTTTCCTTTTCTCTCTTCTTCTCTGCCTTTCTTTTCCCTTTTTGTCTTCCGTCGCTCTCTCCCCTTTATTTTTAAGGCCGTCATAAAAATGGGACCGCGGCTGATTCGGCCCTCACCTGGAACCCCCACTGGTTCTAAAGCTAAACAAATAAAATGATAAAATAGTTTTAAAATTCACTTTAATAATTTTTTTTTTTTTTTTTTACATTCCTTTTGATTTTTTTATAATTGTACTTACATCATAAAGAGCATAACAGTTTTAGTCTGAACCTAAAAAACACAAACAAAAATAGTGCTGTTCATGCGATTACAATGTTGTAAAATAAACAACTGAGAAAGGCAGATTATGTAATGCATAGTCATCTAAATGATAAGAAACCGACTAAATCTTGCTGAAAATCAAATACAGAAAACAGCACTGCATACGGAAATGAGTATGTTGGACTAACTATAACCGGTTTGGACCAAATTATTCAGCCATATCCCATCACTATTTCTAATGTAAGTTCATTAATATTGAAGAGCAATTTTTCTTTAGGGGACAGTTCTATTATAATATTCCTTCAAAACGACTTTAAAAGAATAGAGAAGATCTGACATCACGAATATTTTCTTTCAACTTTACTAGAACCTAAAATTTTGTTTTGATAGGTTTCCATGTAGAGTACGGGTTGCTTAGCTGAATCTCAGTGTGAATTCAGGATATTTCAAAGTCCACGGTCGCGACTGGACTTTGCTCATCTAATCCTCGTGTAATCTAGGAATAAATAGCCCTAAATAGGTCCTCTCACCTTCTTAGATAAATTACTCAAAGATGAGATCATGAGACGACTTGATATAAATAAACCAATAACCTTTGTCACAGTGCCCGCCTGGAATTGAGGCATGCCTTTAAGGTCACAGATTGGATTTGTTTCTCGGTATAAACTTTAACTTTAAATCCCGTACAACTGGAGTAATCTTTGTTTAAACCAGGGACGTGATAGAGAAGGACTGGAATCAAGCCGCTCTCCTTTGACCCCATGCTCCAAGCCGCCGAAAAGTTATGCGCTAATCTGCAACTGTTGACCAGGTGGTGAGATAAAAGAGCGCATGACATTTCAGGAGTTAGAATTCCTACATCAGAAAATGGTATCACTGCAACTGTTCGCTGTCCCTTCCAATGATTTCTCATCCATTGTTGAATGTGTAAAGACTAGAACAAGCGAACACAAACTTGTGTACTTTCATCCTTTTTTAAACTTGAAAAATACAAAAAACACGCGAAAACACGCATTAGCAAACTTAATGTTATTGAAGATTGTAAACCATGGATCAAATAACGGGACATTAAAGCATGCACAAATTAGCGCATCATCCTAAAATATTGAGTTTTTGACAGGATGTAATTTTTCTTTTACCAACTCTAGCACACAAATTAAAGGAAGGACGGAGTTTTTAATTTGAAAATTTGTTTGATGCACTATTCCCAATAAAATCCCCATATAAAGTTTTTGATTTACACTAAAATTTTGCCGGTAATTTAATATTTTGTAATAAATGTAAAACTGGTGCCTGGCTTCCGAAAGTCCCCGCAGTGGAAGCGCGGTTCGGAGCATGGAACTTCAAAGCCAAGTGGAATGTTACACATCCCATTGTTACGCTTTAGAACTCAAGAATGCGTTTGAATAAATTACAAGAGTTTCGCCTCCTTTTCTTTCACCTCCCTGTTTAAACGTTGAGGGAAAACTTCTTCGTCTGCCTCCACAATTACATGTAGCAAGTGCGAATTATCATTGTAAAATTTTGCTTTCTGCTCCATCCCTTAAATATTAGTATGACATTTTCATGTATTTGTATGTGTATCTATTATCGAACTTCATTCACATGGTCAGTGACATAATAGGCAAAATAATTATTACACGTAAGGAAACAATCATTTGAAAGATACATGGAAACAATACAAATATTCAAATAAGTAGTTATACATGTATATATATATATATATATATATATATATATATATATATATATATATATAAATATATATATATACTTCATTGAATATTTAGAAAATGACCAATGGTAAATGATATAAAATATGTTGTGTTGATGATTTACCTACATTTTATTATTTCAAATGATATATGGTCAAATCTGATGACAATAATTATAACCGAAATTACAATGTAACTTATTCTGGTGTACTGTTCGAATGGTCAGAAACTCATTCTCTGATTTTTTTAATAATTCCTGTTATGTCACCTACATGTATTTATACTACAAGTTTGGGGTTTAAATGGCTTCAAAATATATTTCAAGTGTAAAATTTGACAATTGATATAAACAGAAACATTTACTCCACTCCCTTGTACATGTATATATACTTCGACTGTGTTCTTTCTCAGTTGTGAACAAAAAATGAAAATTAAAAAGTGAATATACCTGAGAGGAACCAAAGTGAATGGAATAATAATTATAGGGCGGTCAATTTGGAAGAAATTCAGAAAGCATCCGATGTCTCGGGTCAAACGATCCGTCGTCGTGAAGTACATGTATACATGTAGATACAGTGAAAATGTCCCTGTACATTTTTTGCGTATTGCGTATAGCAACATGACAGGTGTATATCTGACTCCTCTACCTTATCCAAAATAAGTGGTTTTATCACCAAATAAGCTAGACAAAACCGGATTTAATAATCAATCGAATATGAATTATCAAACACATACCTCTTCCATACTTCTTAGATAGCTGACAAGTAGAATATAATCCAACTTATAATTTATATCTCAACAGCGAAACGCACCCATTCTTTACAGAACAACCATATTTCACGTAATATACCAGATGATTGTTTGAATCAAACTGACTAAACTTAGCCTGTACGTGCAGGTCTGTATATATTTGCCTAAATCACACACACGAGTTTTACTGCTTTACTTTAGTTAAAGCAAATATCATAAAACAGTGTTGTTGGTTATTCGTGAGAACGTGTCCTAGTCAGTTTGTTGGTATGAGCATGGATCCATGGTATATGATTTAGGTTGAACGTTCTCTTGCTCATGTGCTCACAATTTTTTCGACAACGAGATGAGTAGGCCTATTCATCTGAAAAGCTCTGAATCGGCTTAACATGCCTAATGGAATACCTGGTTTGTTTTTCATCATTCATCGTGTATTTTGCTTCCTGGAGGGGAAATCGATTGACTTAATTCGGCAAAACAAGGAAATTGTGTATGGTGTGATTTCTTATTGGTCTTATTGGGTCTTATTTTCATCTCGACTCTCCCACTTTGTTTTTATTTTCCCTCATCTTTTTTTATCTATTCTTTTTGCTGTCATTCGGTGGGGATGAGGTGCTCCTCGATACATCACTGTTTCTTTGATACACGAGTGAATGAAAACTGATCGAAATAATGTCAAATTCAAGGGCATACATGTATATAAACGGCTTGCTGTTGACCTTTTGAGATGTGACATGACCTTTGACTCCAAACGCCTTGAATCCATGATGTTGACTGCTTGGGCGAGGGTTGCACTGAGCCCATCTCATCGCATGCACTGATGTGGATGCCGATGTCAAAGAAAAATTGTGGTAGAAATGTACGTCTACATTCTTGTTCCTAACTAAGGAAAGTGGTACTTTTATCTCTCATATTCAAGACGGTGGCTTATTTGCATAAAAACTGCAGCAGAGGCACTCGTCATAATGATAAACATGAATAACTCACATGTACAGGCTTCGGATACATACATGTAGGCCTAGTCCTATTTTTGGATAACATGTATTTCTTTCAATGTTAAAATTACCTGTAAGAATACTTCTCAGAGCGTTATGTAACCTATCAGCGCCAGACCCGTAGCCAGAGTTTGATGTTGGGGGGGGGGGGGGGGGGGGGGGGGGGGGGGGGGGGCACATACATGTAATCGATCTACGTCCCGGGAGGGGTCTAAAAAAGTTCAACCGATCTTGGAAAATAAATTTGGGGGAACGTGCCCCCCCCCCCATGGCTACGTGCCTGATCAGCACAATCTAAAGCTGGTATGCATACAATCCCTTATTTTAGGGAATCACACTGCATAGGCACTATGAATCATGTTAATGTTTTCAAATGTGTACATACATCCATTTGGTAGACTGAATGCTTATGCTATCCCTCATATTAGATATAAAAGAATATAAATATTATCAATATGACGAACACAAGGGGTACCTACCTCCTCTGATAACTCCTCGTCAATGAATCCCAGGGTCTTTCCAGCCATGATGATCGATGTCCTCCTAGTCCAGTACCAAGCTCAAGTATGTTCCTCTTCAGTTCGACACGGTTGTTATAGTTATACCTTTGTCTTCTCGAGGTAGCAAGTACTTCGTTTAATTTCTCAATATGCTATCAGAAGCACTGTACTGTCGAACACACCAGTGCACTAATTCATTCGCCTGACGCAAGCTTATAAGACAGTCTGAAGTTGCTACTGTTCCTACTATTGTTGCTGCTGCTGTTTCGATTCTGCAGCGTTGCGTGTTTGTCATGCATCAATATATACCACGCTTTCACTTGGGTGACGGAGTATTGTGACGATCCTTGCTACGATTCAGACTGTGGATAACCTACTGTATAGCACACGGTACCTTAAAACGAACGTTCTACAATAAGGCTAAATAAATGCAGTCAATTACTAACGATTGAATGGTATACAGTTACTCACTTGCTAGGAAAGCAAGTTACTAGAAGCATTGACTATGTTTGTAATATCATACTGTGAGCGAGACGTCTAGATTTATACTTTCGAACCACAGGAGATGTGAAGCGCTAAAATGCAAGCCTGGGAAGAATTTGCGCGTAGTTCGGTCAGCAACCTTCGGCAACGCACTGTCTCAATTTTTCCAATAACTGGCTGAGAAATAAAATAAAGTGTTCTTTAGCAAGATATCCAAGCGACAGCTCATCGTTGTTTGATGTGTCTAAATGACCCTTGTACTTTTAATTATTTCCTTATCAATTTAAGATATCCAAATTGATTGTTTGTTTCTCGATCGTACTTGGTTAAGAGCACGTATCGACCATACAGTAGTTTTGATCATGCTATTATTAAGAGGTGCTAGTTTAAATAACCGGACAAATCACAATGAATGAAGACAATAATTCGTCCTTGTTTTCACGAAGTGACGGTAGTGAGGAAAATCGTAATGCAAAGTGAATGCAATTTTTTTTTTCACTACCGTCACTTCGTGAAAACAGCGATGAATTTGTTGATCTGTTTTTGAATAAATGTTATTTTTCAACAGGAATACGATAATGTTGTATGTGTTATTAATTAAGTTTTTTACGGATCTTCTCATGTACTATGATCTTGAATATTAACGCCGGATTTGTGGTTGTATGGATAATTTTCTTTGGATAGTTTGAGCCTTATTTTAGTCGTACTAGAATAAAATCGCTTAATTCTATAATTTTATACGATTTATGGGAGAATTATGGCAAGCTGCCTTCACAGATTGCTCCGTTTTACGTACAGATATACATGTATATCCAGGATTAACAATCAGTGCATGTTATCTTGTAGAAAAATGCTTGTCCTTTCTCCTATTGTGACAACTCCTATATTGGAGTAACAGGGAGAACATTGAAGACTCGATTGAAAAGGTACAATAGGGCCCATGACATTTACATTGAAACACACTTCTGGTCAAGAAAAGTGAAATAATCCATGTGGATAAAACAGATTAATCCTGCACTGAATAAGGGACCTTGGCTATTCATTATCATCTGTCTTCGCTCCAGTGATCTCGCGGCAGCAGGCACAGCGCAAGAAAATATGAATAATCACATGGCTTGAGAAAGACCAGAGGCATGGACGAAGCCTTGCCTATACTCAATTTTAAGTTTGGAAGAAGCTTAAACTACATGTTATGATTACAGTGAAGGTTTTCTGTATCATATCCAGGATTATTTATCATTCTTCCAAATAACATCTGATCTTCTTTCTGCAGTGTTAAAGGTATTACAAAGTTTTGAAACATTTTGGAAATTGGGTGGATAGTGATTCTTTACCATTTTGATACATTTGGATGCCCCTGTGGATGTGTCATAAGCACAAGAAAATTTACCGGTACTCCCGGTCAATGTTGATAAATTTCTAATAGCACCTACGGCCGTACAATAGTAGCTGCGACCATGAACATCTCAGAATATGTAGTTGTGATATCAAATTTCCAAACGGGAATAGCTAATCGGTCGATATTGGTCAGGAAACATTGTTTTATAGCTTAATTAATATATTGACCTTGAGAGGGAGCTATGCAACATAAAGAGTTTATTATTTACAATTTCACAACTTTACGTTCGATTTCAACCGCGAAATGATCACTGGATATTGTAGGATCGCATATGATTCCAATGTGTTCATTTGAACCAAATTCATGACCCCATACCAAAAATGTGTAATACCTTTAAACTACGTGTTATGATTGCCCCAGAACGGTCCATGCATGCCCCAACCAGTAAAGGTTTTCTGTATCATATCCAGGATTATTCATTATTCTTCCAAATAACATCTGATCTTCTTTCAAGATTCAAGAGATTCAAGATTGTATTGTCCATAATTATATAATACAGAAATTTCTGCAGTGTTAATGTAGCTAAGCTTTGCCGCAACTCCCTTTGAAAAACGTTTTATTCAGACACTATGGCCCGAATTCACAAAGGAGGTTTGTCGACAAACCTTGGTTTTCGTACGTTATATGACGCGTTTTTACGAGTTTTTTACAAACCTGGTTTGTTAAGAACAAAAGGAGGTTTGACGAAACAAAAGGAAGTTTGTCGACAAACCTCCTTTGTGAATTCGGGCCTGTGACTTTTTTTCGAAAGATTATTTACCTGATTGCTATGGTCTAAATAAGTCGTTGAAAGGTCACCTATAATGGTATCTTGATCAGTAAGATATATCTTAATTTAGCAAAAGTTTGTTCATACTAACCACTTCATGGTTTGTTTGACGAGTTATTTTTAGAAGATAATTACAAAGCATAAAGACGTAAGAACAAACAGTGCCACAAACACCTCATTATTATCTTCTGGTTTTGTTTGAGCTGTTGCAAAATGATCAAGATACTATTTCTAAAATACTTTGTTAGCAAAATTATACTTACCTATCCATGTATATGCTCATTTACATGTAACCCCACTTTCATGGTCTTTGGCAGATTGTAACCTATCGCTTAGCTTATTTCTTTAGTATAATACTTATAAATACCCCATTTGGGATAAGTTTCCAATCGTGTCATCATTTCAAACATGACATCAAGTTATGACCCCCTTTTCACACATGATTTTTGCATTTTGTTAGTGATTCGATAAAGGCGAACTATTCGTTAACTTTATATCCGTGTACATGTATGTGATTTAACGCATGCGTATACGTCTTTGTTGTTGTTTATCTCAGAGGGTAATTATCGGGGCTCTGGGCGGTGTTATTGGGGTCACCACCCATCCTTACATTTTAACCCAATATGACATTCCTAAAGTGTGAGCTTTGATGAACGAATCTACACTGTAACCGTCTAACGCACATTCATGAAGTACCCTAGATATCAAGTGAAAAAATTACTCTGAATACGACACAAATCATTAACATCGAACAGCATTGATACAATTACTCCGATGATTGTTTAGTTGCCTTCGGGGATGAAATCAAACTTACCCCGTCATGTGAATCCATTTTTTCTCAGCTTATTGTAGAGCGAGGTTTTTCATCAAGAAAAATAAATCAAGAAACGTTTTTCACGTAGGCTAGTTCGAGAGGTGAATAAAAATACCGAGATTTTATCAGAAATCGTTCGATATCGAGAGAATGTGACAAGCTTCTTGAATGTTTAATGCAGAGCTCGCGATGTGGTATATCTTACTTGATACATAACATTGTGATATAGCGTGTAGGAGAATCAACGAAGATATATACAAATTCTGCTGATTTGATATATCTATTATTAATATCAACAACTTCATTCGTCAATTTTGATATAGTTTTTTTTTAATGTGATGCTACAATGTTTAAAGCAGAGTACACTTAGTGATATATTTCAATGACTATATACACATGTATACTTTACATATATGTATGTCATCATGAGTCAAAACATATAACCCCAAATATTTGTTTTTTCTTCTAAAGTTAATATGATATGATCATCGTCTTCATTTGTATTGAGACGAGCCCTCTTATTCACAAGGGAATTGTAGTCCAGTTATATCATAGCCATTCCAGTATCATTAAGATGACCCTAATTGATGCAGATGATTCAGTAGGAAAAAAATCGTTGACTAGGAGTTTTCGTGACTTACATTAAAGAGTCGAGACAAAAATAGACCAAAGCGCACAAAGCATTTATTTTAAGAAACAGAGAAGCTCGTTGTTTTGGAGAATATCCTATAAATAAATTGACATTTGAGTACTCTATGATAATACTTGTTTATTTGGCTAATCACCTTAGCAATTCTGTAAACTGATTGTGGTTAATCTAGAGGAAGATAACATTGGATAATATTTACTTTTCAAGTGGTCATTTCGGAGGGACTTTGGGTTTATCCGCGATATATATATATATATATATATATACAAGAAATATAAAACTAGGCAAAAGTTAAACATAACCCTTATATGTATGAGTGGAAGATTGGTAAAAAATATTTTGTTAAAGAAAATATCAAGTTCTTTTACCTATAGACTGTGGTATCATTTTCTACTCCTGTTTAACATGTAATGGTAAATACATCTTCGTATTCCCTCATCCCACCCAACACACTGTCTCTCTCTCTTTCTCTCCCCTCCCTCTCTCTCTCCCCCTTCTCTCTCTCTCTCTCTCTCTATCTCTCTCTCTTTCTCTTCTCGATCATTCTCTCTCTCATTTTCTCTTCTATTCCTGCATAATTTTCCCATTATGTTTAAAGCCTTTTTCTAATTTTACATATTTATTGTTTTTCCTTAATTAATACTCCATTTATTATACACTTCTCTACGTCTCTCTCTCTCTCTCTTCCTCCCTCCCTCTCTATCCTCTTAATCTCTTCTAATTCTCTTTCTCTCTCTATCTCTCTCTCCCTCTCCCCCATCTCCCTCTTTTGTCGTCTGTATCTCACTTCTCCTTCTGTTTGTCTTTTAAGGCTCATCAAATTTGTTCAACTTGTTGTATCTCCTGCGTCGTGTAATGTTATTCCCCAAAAGGAAATATCAGGGGTGTGTAGCCAAGTTACATCCCACACAGTGCATGTACCAACCAGTCCTACGCCGTCTTAAGTTTAAACAAGCTTGATATTTAAAAAGAAAAATCTCTAAGACTAATTTCAGGAGTATCACGTCTGGCACACAAAGACTAACCTACATTTTGAAAATCCAAACACGTTCACACTTTCCTTTACCTTTAACATACTTAAGCTAACCTACATTCTAACACATTCATACTTTAACCCTGTCACTGCTGCCATTTTGCACAGACTCGAGATACTCATAGACCTGTATTCAGTTTGACGCAGGCAGAGCTCATATACACATATTGCAGGTTCCCAGTTTATCAGCATCAATAACTTACTTTATAGTAACACATTTGTAAACGTTGTCTCGTTGTTTATTTGTTATATTTGTATCTGCTGTCTTTCTTTTAACACCCCCCCCCCTCCCCCTGGGAGAACAGTGCATGTCGATGATGTATGATACTACCTTGCATAAACAAGACACGATAATAGCAATAATGATGATAATAATAATGACAAATTCATATTTAGTGAAGTGAATTTATTTACACGTGTTAGACAGGCATCATGATGAGGAGTATACATACACATGGTAACCAACAAATTGCACTATTATACAAGTCATATACAAATATAAATACACATTGCCACTCAATGATTCAAACCTCTAACATTATATCATTTTTAAACGTAGTGTGTTCTACACACCTACCTCCAATAATCAAGACCCTGTAAATCTGAATAAAACAAGTGCGATGGTGAAACTTAGGAATAATATAAATGTACAAAGATAAACAGGTGTGAAATAAAACAATTATGTCAACAAATAGACGCGGCTAAAAAGCTTGTACCGCCCCCAGTTGTATGCATTTGTGTAAACATTGGTCGTAGTGAAAGTAAGGTATAGCAGGAGTGATGGCGTTGGTGGTAATGGTGGTGGTGATGGTGGTGGCAGTGGTAGTAGATACAGCAGCAGCAGCAGCAGTAGTAGTAGTAGTAGTAGTGGTGGTAGTAGTAGTAGTTGCAGTTGTTGTTGTTGTAGTAGCAGTTTAGGAGTGGTAGATGCAATAGTAGTAGTAGTAGTCGTAGTAGTCGTTGTTGCTGATGCTGTTATTGTAGTGATAATAGTTGTAGTTGGTGATAATAGTAGTATTTGTTGCAGTAACATCATTACTAGTAATGGTATCCTATAGAGTAAGAATATCTTTATACTTATCATTGATACGTCTCAGTAGTAACTGAAATAGTAACAGCAGTATTAGTAGAAGTAGTAGTGTTAATAGAAGTAGTAGTCTTAGTGGTAGTAGTAGTTGTAGTTCTATAAAAAAAGTTTTAGTCTGAGTAGTTTAGTAGTAGTAGGAGTAGTAGTAGCAGCAAGAGTAAAAGAAGAAGTAGTAGTAATAGTACTGTAGTAGTAGTAGTAGTAGTAATAGCAGCAAGAGTAAAAGGAAAAGAAGAAGTAGTAGTGGTGGTAGTAATAGTAGTTGTTGTCGTAGCAGTAATATTAGCAGAAGTAGCAGCAGCAGCAGCAGTAGTAGTAGTAGTAGTAGTAGTAGTAGTAGTAGTAGTAGTAGTAGTAAAAGTAGTTTTAAGTGGTAATAATAGTAGTAGTAGTAGTAGTAGTAGTAGTAGTAGAAGCAGATGTAGTAGCAAAGTAATATCAGTTGTCAAATGAGTAGTAGAGGTAGAAGTAGAATTACTTGTAGCGTCAGTAGTAGTATCTTGATGTAATAGTAGAAGTAGTAGTAGAAGTAGTAGTAGTAGTAGTAATAGTAGTAGTAATATGAGTGGTATGACTAGAAGTAATAAAATAATTTGTAAAAACAGTAGTAGTAATGGTGATATAAGTAGTAGTAGTAGTAGTAGTAGTAGTAGTAGTAGTAGTAGTATAGCAGTAGTCATAGCAGCTCGTTAGTGAATGAGTAAGTAGGTAAGTAAGTAAATATTTGTTTAAAGTAAGTAAACGGCACGTTTATCCAATTGAAAACAATGTTGTATAGGTACTTACAATATCCTTACTAAGCATATCTTTATAGATATATATTGTAAGTTTGTGTAGTAATAGCAGTAGTAGATTTAGTAGAAGTAGTCAGTAGTAGTACATGTCGAAATAGTAGAAGTATTTGAAGAATTGGTGGTAGTGGTAGTACAGTAATAATAGAAATATAAGTAGTAGTAGAAGCTGTAATAGTAGTAGAAGTAGTAGTAATAGTAAATGTTGTTTGTTTGGTTTCCTAGTAGCATTAATAGAGGTAGTAGTAGTATAAGTAGTAGAAATAGTAGTAGCAGTAGTAGTAGTAGTAATAGTAGTAGTAATAGTAGACGTAGTAGCAGTAGTAGTAGTTCCCGAACTAGTAGCAGCACTAGCAGAAGTGGAAACGGTGGTAGAAGCAGTAATGGCTTTAAAAAGTCGTCGTAATTGAAATAGTAGAATAGCAGCAGTAGCTACAACAACAGCAGTAGTAGTAGTAACAGTAGGATAAGCAATAGTTCATGTTGTATCCCTAGAAGTATTGCACATCAAACATCTCGATGTCAGCTATGGGTAACATGTATGTAGAAAAATTGTGTATAACTTTATTGAGTCTTATTTCAGTTAAATAAAGTCATGTACAAATTTATATATATTGCACTAATAAATAAGTAAATTAGCTGCACCGGTTTAATAAGGATGTGTAGTGGAGGGTGAAAACTGCTGCAACCAACAATGGTGGTGTAAATTATATAGTCGTCGCTGTGTCCTGTACATAATAGAGTCGTAGCAGCAGCAGTAGAAGTAGGCAGTAGTAGGTAGTTCAAAGAGATTCATAAGAGGAAAAGTAGAAGCTTTCGCTTTTCAATTATTGTAAAAGTTCAGGAGCAAAATATAATTCATCGTGAAAATTATGGCACAATCATTGCACTAACATCAACGATCACATTTGTATTAACACGTTAAAGTATGCAGATATTCAAGTCTGATGTTATAAGTACAAGATGGGACATAAGTGGCAGGAAATGTTGTGTGAATGTAACAATTTCACTTGAATTTAGACTTTAAAAAATTGAACAACTTTAAACAAAGAAGCATATCTGCAGCAGCATCGTCAACGCAATTCACGATGCAAACCGGAACATTGATATATAACAGTCAATTCGCAAACAGGTGTAAACCTACAAAAACGACCAATTTCCTATGATAATTATCACTCAAACAGGAAGAATCGGGGCCCTGTTTCACAAAACTTGTTATCAACAACGACTTACAATATCTGTTATAAGCTACTGAATTCGTGGCATTCAATTGGCTGAGAGCAAATTTGTCAGAGAAATTTGGCATTTGTTATTGATAACAAGTTTTATGAAACAAGGCCCTGATATACGATTTCAGAAATATCGATTGTACAGAGACGAACTATAATTGTATAGGTCTAGCGCCATCTTGAGCGGGCTAGAGAAAGGTTCTTCATGACCAAGACACTATCCATGGATGTAAAATCCACACCAGCAAACATTTGGTGACCTAATGCATGTTTTATCAGGCATAGAAAAAACAATTATCTAAGAAAGCGTTTAATTGAATGACAAACCTATCCAACAAAGGTTCTCATGTATAAAAAAAAAAAAAAGCAATTAAGAAAGAAAATGTTTTCTCGAAAGCTATCTATAATGTGTGCAGAAATCGAGTCAAACCAAACGATTGATATATTTACAACACCGACAAAATAACATTTCAATATTGCGATTACATATTAATAAGAACTTCGATTTAAAAGGAATGACAGGTCTACCATTTGTTGTCATTAGAGCAATTCAATTCAATTCAAATTTATTTCTGTTTCAAACAAAACATACAAAAATCATTTAGAATCATTTAACACAATTAAGGAATACATATTGGAAACAGAGGGGTCCACTAAAAATCAAAGGTATTTTCAAATTTAATTCTCCCCCGCCAACAATTGTTTTAAATTATCAAACTATTACAATGTACAATTTCAAAGGATACCATTAGTCAGTATAGTAGTAAAAAGTCTGAACAAATGTAATAATAATTTATTCATACTTCTCTTTCTAATTGTTGTAGTCAGCCATTAAATCATTTGAACTACTTCAATATCTAACAACAACATTAAGGGGTTTATGATGTACCCTTTCCATCTAAATACTTCTAAACAAAGTTTGGATCCCGTTTAAACATTTACCGCGACAAATTTTTCCTTCTTTATTTGTATAAATTATGATAAATATTAAAACGCTTCTCACCTCATCCACTGTTGGTCATAAAGGTGGAATAATCTTTTGTTTACCCCAATTTATGGAATTATTTTGACAATGATTTATTCCTAAAAGATCTAGATCATAGTATACATTCTCAGATGTTATTGAATAATAATTTGCGAGTGTTTGTTTTGCGTGACTGCTAAAGCATGTGTATGCTACTATGCTTATAAACAAGGGGACCTACGTAGTCATAACTGACAGTAATGGGGATTTAAGCCTCACAAAAGGGCACTCATATAGCACATCGACACGGTTTTGATATCGGGGCCTTACAGTTACAAGTCCATTGCTTTGCCACTGTATGGCCATGCATTTATATGGTTCAAGGCATGGTCACACAGAGGATTTTTTTCTGTTTGGGACATGCGAACGGTCATGTTTCAGTGGCAAAGCAACAGTGTACATTACGTCATAACGTCTTTGAAAGAGACCGTCAAAAGTACAAGTTCATCGATATCCCGTTGAAGCACGTGCTAAACGTAATACACGCGTTTCAAAGGATCGTCTGCGAACATGTACTTATAACGGTTTTGTGCAACGACGCCCTGGTCTGTAAATAAAGATTGAGTCGCAAAATGCTCTCTAAACAAAGGAGGCATCTATCGCCCAAAATAGTGTTCTTCTGAATGTTTTGTACATGTACTCATTTGAACAAAACAGCAAATTCGATAGCCAATGGTTTTAGACATGGCGTTTCTAAAAAAAAAAATACGCTGTTAGACAGCACCATTCATATAAAAATGAATCTTATCATTTCTTATAATGATAACATATTTGTACACAGGTTTTCTTAATGACTACATAGGCCTACCACGAAAAGGAATTCCAATAATCTTTAAGAGCATGAAGAGCTTTCATAAAAACTATTCCGGATAGTTGTAAATTGAGTCTTTTCAGCGATCAATATCCTTCCTACAAGCAAGAACATCGTTCGTCGGAGTTGTTTGATTCAAATACAATTTGTTGGGGTATCCAATAAAGTATTTCTAAACAACAATAATGGTCGATAGCGAAAATATTTCCGAATGTCAACATCTGTTCGACAATATAACTATTCCGAGATGCATCGTGATTATAAAGCCATTGCACTTCGGATACGTATCAAACTGTTTGCATCTCATCCACCGGATACTTTTCATTGACAATAAAATTTCGATCCGAATCAAATGAAAACTTCAGAAAATGGACGTGTATTTAATGAATACGTTTTAGCAGTGTTGTTCTTCGCCCGCTTGCCTATTCGTAGAAAACAAGTCGTTCTGTTCAATACACAATCAATACCGTAGGATCAACCAAAGCACATCTTTTGTCGGATTCTGTGCTCTCATGTAGATACATAAACGGTTTCGGTTTGAGCGTAAGATGTCATACTCGGTAGCCGCTGAAGGGCGGATCTGGAGACCATGCTAGCGCGGTTACTCTGTACGCCCAGCTTCAACGTCTGCTTGAACTTCGCGCGGAAATTGTCCGAGAAGAACGCGTAGAGGAACGGGTTGAGGGCGCTGTTGAAAAAATAAAGTGCCTGTGAGAAGGGCAGGAAGTAGATACCGCCCTGACTGCTGAGGAAAGTGCTGTGACCAAAGGCCTGCCAGAAAGTCTGTAACTGGACCGGGAAAAGGCAAAGGGCGAATGAGACGACGATAAAGACAAGAAGACGGATGACTTTTTTCCTCGCCGCCATGACGTTGCTGCGTCCTTTGCCTCGAGAACGTCCGCTAGAGATCTCGTCGTTCGCTCGCTTGCTGGAACGGTCCTTCCCGACGGACATACTCGATTGATTACGCGTTAGTTTCGGGTCGGGTGCTTTACGACCTGTACGCTTTGAACCCGACACTGCAGATATGTTGGTAGTATCATCCTTCTTACCGTTTGAATTATTGTTGCCTTCGTTTGCAGTCAACGGCACTTTCACTTCCATCTCAGTTCCTGGAGTTGATTCAAGATCATCAGTTGGCTCATGGACAAAGAAAGGACCTATCTTTTGATTTTTAGGAGGTTCAGTGCTGACTTCTTCTAATTTTGATTTGACATTGCCATCCTTTTTGTTACAGTCCTTCGTTATCTCCAAGACAACGGTGCCTTCTGTGTCATTGTCAGGACGGTAGATGTTTGCTGCAGCGTTGCTCGTACTGGAATGGTTAGACGCGTGGGCTTTCGCCTTTGAAAAGCGACCTGTGATACGGCTAGTGAATCGAGAGCCCTTACCTCGCTGAAAGCCGCTGTCCTCGCCGCTAGTGAAGACTCGCTTTCCAGTGCTGGTTGTCCAAAGCTTCCTGGAGATAATGCCGTACAGCACGGCCATAATAAGTAGCGGGATGGTGTAGAAGAATACACAGAATAAGATGGAGTGAACACGGGCCACACCTTCGGACAAGGTACTCGGAGTGCAATACTTATTGTCGCCATAGTGCAGGAGATTGTAGAAGAGCGCAACCGGGATGTTCACAACCGCGCTAAGCATCCATACAAGCATGACGGTAATGGTCAGACGTCGTGACGTCAAGACCCTTCTCGTCTCAAGGGGGTGAAGAATAGCGATGTATCGCTCGACAGAGATCACCGTCAGGATCAAGATCGAAGCCGTTGTGGCAGCGCTGGTCATGTACTTGTGAAGACGACAGATCAGCAAGCCTAGAGGCCAGCTTTCAAGGACATACCACAGGAGCTGCGGAATCACGCAGAAGACAGCCACCAAGAGATCGGCGAAGGCGAGGTTGGCTAAGAAGAAGTTGGTCACCGTGTGCATGCTTTTGTTCCTAGCGATGACGAAGACGACGAGGAAGTTGCCGAATAAGCTGAGAGCAAAGATCACCACGAAGACTGTGATGAGGATCTGCTTGAGTGGAGCTTCCAAGTAGGGATCCTCACCCATTGATCCATTACCGTATGTAGCATTGAAGGACGAGGAAGCAAACTCACTGCCAGCCATGTTGATTGGGGTCGGAAGGGTCTCTATTGGTAGATCCTGTTAAAAGAGTAAAAGAAAGAGAAGTATTATAATTTAATGTTATATTATCGCATATACCACTAATCATGCCTGTTAATCCTTAGTATACACATAGAGTAACCTGCCCAGTGGTTATATTAAATCCTTAATGTGCTTGGTTGTTGTAACCCAAAAAGAAAGAGGTAGTGACAATGTCGTGGGTATTCAAGTTTCTTATATATACACAATAATCTTCAAATACATAGAACACTCAATAGATCTGTGTTAAACAGTTCAACCTCTAACCTAGACAGCACATTGATGTGCTCACATGAGCATGGCTTTCGTGTTTAATGGAGACTGGCTAGGGATCTGTGTCGTAATAACACTTGACTCGCCCAGCAGTTCATTGTCTTCCAATTACGTTGTAGGCCTTCCAAGTCCCCGTGAGGTTATTAAACGCGATACCAGGAGTTTTAACGGTCACGCAGCGGGATTTCATACCGGTACCTGATCCAATTAGCGCGTATCGCTCGATGAGGCGACTAACTCAGTCTACCACCTGGTGAGCTAGCGGAAATAGTACACATACCGGGTCTTGTTACAACCAGACGTTCGTTACTGTTCTATAGAATAAATTTACATTGATTTTCCGTCATATTCATATTACTTAGCATTTCTTTATCTCTATTATAATGCGTATGAATGAAATTGGGTCACCGATTTAAAGTAATCTGAAAATAACAATCCTGACAATGTCAGTTTGGCACTAAGTTACGTCTGAGCTCCCCAGAATAGTTACATTATGAGCGTTTTGCCTTAAATGGTTTTGTTAAACACAAATCACACACTTCACCAATCGTAAAGATAGTAGAAAAACGAGTAAAGAATTAAATCAAATATTTCTGAGATTAACTTATTAAACGATGTGTCAAACTTTCATTCGGCTCCTGATTTGGCAAAATTTGGCTGGTTCTTAAAGTATACTAACATCAATTTATCTCGGTGTTGAGAGTCAATTCATACATGCTAGATTTAATTTTGAGCAGCTCATATTTTCATCACAACTTCTATTCTATTTCTTTCTCTCCTGTTGGATTCTTCTCTCTGTATGAAATAAACAAGTATCAGTTTGCTTCTTTGATTTATAATTTTCCTTCTACAGTATATCTCAATCAATTTATATATACAACTTAATACTTTCTTTCATGCGGCCCAAACCTCTTAATTGTCCAATCTGTTTGGATGAGGTGAAATCACCACTCGCCCACTCTGCCTTACTCCCACACTCACTTTACGCATGTTACTTCTTGCAGGTTGCCCCCCCCCCTTTCCTCCGCCCCCTCTCTCTCTCTCTCTCTCTCTCTCTTTCTCTCTTTCTTTACGGTTGACGCAATAAGACATTGGTTTTTCTTGACTGCTGAACTAAATTGGAGTTGATGAAGTTACACGGTGGATGCCACTGTGGTCTCGAATCGAACGCATTCGGGGAGTTTTTGAAAAGGTCAGTGACTTTATTTCCACACCACATATTTTAACGACACCATACGAGCGTTCGCTCAACGGGGTTTACTGTACAGTGTGAGTCAACAAAAAGAAAACCCAGGTTAACCCTGAATTTCGTTGTCAAAGATATGCATGCTTAATCAACCATAATTTATTCTAATGTGGCACCTTGATCAATAATATCGCGCTGTGAACAACCAAACGACAAGATTTTCTTTGATTTATGTAAATTATGCTTCTGCCTTAGTTTTGCATTAAATTGATGGCCAACTAAAAACGGGGCTTGGCTGAATGGTCTCCATTCCGATTGACTGCAGTATCATCTTGAGCAAAACACTGTATTGCGTGATCACGCTTCTGCGTCTCTGTGTGGCTCTTCCGCAACGTCCAAAGTCACTCCGCGAAGTCGCACATAACCCTACGAAGAAATCCCATCTCTTCGTCAAACAACTCTTTAACCTCTGCATTATACTCCCTTAGTGAACTTTGTATATGAGTGATGAAGTCAGTTAAAGTGATAAATACAAAGTATGATCTATGTATGAATGACTGACCCCCGTTTTTTTATTTGATCGTGCCGTTTAAAAAAACGAAACATTTTTCCACATCACGTTTGTTCACCATTAATTTCTTCAAAGGATTACGTGTTTAATATGTGACCGTATTTGGTTTTGTAGTTGTTTGACTTTAATAGGATTCCTTTATTTCACACACACTGTATAGTATTTACCACGGTCTAATGGTCATTCAAGAATAGCTTATATCCCGTCGAGTTCTCTGACATTAACATAATTATGATGTATTGCAATACCTGTCAACCCTACACTGCATTGCCTAAGACAATTATGTTGCCAATTTCCGATCTTATGGTTATGAAATAGGTTACCCTTCGTGAAAATACGACATTTAAGCACTTTCTATTATTACTATCATTAATCTAAAAAACAAAAAGTGATGTATTGATTCTGCCTTTAAACTATAAAAAAACACTTTCTTGCACGTAATAATTAACTTCATAACTCTGAATATCGAATTATATCATGAAATATCGTATTTTTATTTTCTTAATTTGATTTGATGACCTAAATAAGAGGAAGACATAACATCGCTAATCTATGGTTAATCACTAATCGTATACTTGGTGTAAGTTGGTAAGTAGCTTGTATTGATTAGTTTGAAACATGTTGCGAAGTTTTGGGGCACTTTGTAATAGTAACAGTGTGTAAAGTTTGTAACGTCCTTTTGGTTCATAGCAAATTGCACGTTGTATTGCTTGTATTCAGATGAACACTAAATAGGCCTACATGGGCGTCACACTCATGGTGTGAATGGGGGGGGGGGGGGGGGGGGGGGGCTATCGGACCATATTTCAGATGTAAAATTTGCTTTATTTTACTCTGGTCAGGAGAAACATTTGAGGAACTAACACTTCAACAAGCTCTGCTTCAAGTTAGTTCCTCTTTTCTCGTGCTTTTTAATTTTTTTTTTTTTTAATCAGTACAGTGTTGGGGAGCGCCGGGAGTGTCAAGTCTGACAGACATGAGTGCTATACAAGAACCTACTATTACTATCATTATCATTTAAGTTGTTCAACTAGAAAAAAGTTAGTAAAGATGTACAGAAATTATCAACAACAACAAAAGCAGTATTTTCGTAATAGGTTACAAAGGTAAAGGGAGTCTTAAAATTCAAACATTACATTTTCTGAAAAGATTTAAACACCTCTCAGAAAAGAAAAACTATGTTTTGAGAAAGTCACGCACGTGATTACACTGTATTACTTCAACCATCACGATGCCTTTTGAAGAAGGTGTAAAAGCGTAAAGAGCTTAATCTCAAGAGACGATGAACATCATCTTACAACCGTGATCATGCGAGGCGTCTCGACATGATCTCTCGAAACCATCACGGGGCGATCGGGCGAAAATGTTTTCGTTTCGATCTCGATGGTACTCTGTAGCCCCCTGAGCGCGACCCTCTGGGAACGCAGGAAGGTGTAGGTACTAAGTCTTGACAATTTAAAGCAGAATTTCATGCTGATCACTCTCTGGATGGGTTATATTGTATTCTGGGGTACCTCGGTAATGCGTGTGTTAGATTAGCAAAAAGTAGATTTAGGTGAAAGAGATACAAGTGAGTAGAAAGGCATAATGGCCTGGAAATATTGATTTAGTTGCACACATTGACGAAAAAGGCAGATGAGCAATTTATTCCTCTATTTTTCAATCTATATTGTTACGTTTCTTCGTTCGGTTTATCTCCCAATGACAGACCAACACCAGCTGATATAATTTTCCAGAATAATTGAGACAGATGATTACCCGGAATGCAGAACATGTTGATTTAATAACAAAAAAGATTAAATCAAAATTGTTGGCATAGAATGTTGTTATTTTTCTTGTTGGTGATTGCAAAGCAAATATTGTTTACCAACGATATTTCGGCCTAAATGTGGCAATTGAAGATTATTTAGCTCGGGGCACTCGGGGCGACAATAACCGAACGCTGTACCACAGCTATTTGACCACGTGCTATACAATTACTTTCCCAGAAAACAAAAGCATTGGCGGATCCGCATTGGGCGAAACATGAAAATGTGCTCACCCCCCCCCCCCCCCCACCTACCTACCCCCAACAGTGTCCTGACAGCAATTGTAGACACTTAACAGTGAAAGAAAAATTGTTTGCTTTAATACAACATATATATATATTGGGACTTGAAAGTTGTTACCCCCCCCCCCCCAGCAAGAACATCCTGAATCCGCCATTTAAAATGGTATTTCTCTTGGAATGTCATCAACTGTTCTTCCCGTTCGTCAAACAGAGGACTGTGGTATTAAGGGGACAGCCGCGTTCCAAGGCACGATTGAGACTGAGCTCGCGGCGAAACACGTACGGACCAGAAAGGTTAGGGCGTTAGCACCGGTAATTAACAGAGGAAGTTTACCCGGGTGCGAGGGGAGTCAAGTGCGACTTAACCCCTTTGCTCCCTCCGCCGAAACGTTTACATAACGTATCCGGACCACGAAGACAGGTTTGGTGTTTGAGGAGTTCATCGGTTTTGAACGTGCGGTGTTATTTGGCGCGGTGGAGCGAACGGAAATTGGACGAACGTCATAAGCCACGATGTTGCTGCCGGCGGTGTAGAAATTAAACCCATTAGGGATAGAGAGAAAAATAAAAGTAAAATAATCGTAGAAAGTTAATGACATTATGACGGTTGATATGATTTTGTGTAGAAATCCATGGAAAATATTATAGTCTTTCTTTTTCTTTGTATTTTGTTTACGATAAAGGAAAATGAGAAGTTGATCTCCCCACGCTAGGTCTATCGTTTCTCCTAAGCTTAGCCTTGGATAATGTATGTGCATGTGTCAAAATATGGCATTAAAATATTCGTAAGGACATTGAACAGTTCTAAAGGTCATCCGTCTGTTGTCAGAACAATACGAAAATACAAAATGCGTGCAGCATAACGACATTTATCAGCCTGACTGCACCCTAGACACCCTCGACCCC